TCGGAAAATTACCGATTTTGTTTGGAGTAAGTGAACTAACTTTAACTAGTTGGTACTCATTGGACGCAAAATTCGATGCTCCAGAACTTTGATTATATGGGTTTTTCCTCTTAGGGAATTCATTTCCAGGTTACAGGGCCATTTAGGGTAATTTGTGTCAGTTTTTGACAAATTTGGTAAAAATCAGCATTGGTTGACCCTGGTTTTTGACCCTACCAGATAACCAAATTATAAAGTTTATGCACTCGTTCGACGCAAAATTTAACGTTCTTTAATTTATTAAATTGTACATTTTTCTCTTTGATGCACCATTTAGGAGTTATAAGTGAAAAAACAAAAAAATATCGAAAAATTCAGACTTTTTGGCCGTAAAAAGTTTTGCCTTGGTGGCCCGCGTTAGAAATTTTGCATTTTACATATCTGAATCCATATATAGAAGTTAAAAAAAATAAAAACTTTTTTCACAATGGATTTCCCGTTTCGATCCTCAAATTACTGACCTAATATTCTTTAAATCAGCAGCCATTTTTTAAAGCAGCGGCTCTGGAACGGCAGACAAGGTTCTTTTTACTCAGAATAACATACACTTTCGTAATTTACAATCAAACCTTCGCCTGCGATCAGGTCGATTTTTGGGCCCTGGCTGCAGGGCTAATAGGGGTGCCCAGTTCCTCTCCCCCAAGGTCAATGAGGCTTGACCTCCCAAGAAATGCTATTGCTCTAACCTTCTTAAAAACATGCCAAGTGAAAGTAGAATTAGAAAAATTGTAGATCATATACCAATACACTTGCAGTCGTCTGGTACATGTTTTGTCCCTTGTTCAGTGGATTGAAACATTTAACCCTAAAAATATTTCGAAAAGTGCCTACCTCAAATATTCGAAACACCGTAAAAATTGTGTCCCTCTCAAAACTTTTGATGGGACTTGCGCCATGAAACTCTCTTCTGAGAACCTCTGTCAAGCACTACAAGCCACTTAATTTTATGGAATTTTAGGGAAACGCTAAATCTCATAAAAACAAGAGTTATGAGTCAATGCTTTGTTAACACAAATATGTCCTCAAACGTTATCTCAATTTATAAAAAAATATATTTATATCAACCTCATGGTTGCAAAAAGTGTTTTGTGGTATCGGCTTTAAACCCACGGGTTCGTTAAGCCTTTTATTATTACTATTTATCATAATGTTCAAAAAACTAAGTTTAATGCACGTATACATAACATTATTTTAATATTTTAATAAATAAAAATGCCCTTTTTAATGAATTTTGTATAAATTATAAAATAGATACATCTTCTAAATAAACAAAATAAAATGAATGTACCCAGAAAGTATAAGTAAAAAAAAATTTACTCCAAGGCTCTTATAGATCACAAAATTCGCATCAGTTAACGACGTGTAGTAGATAACTGTATTGATAATCGTTGGATTGCATAACTACCAAGAGATTCTTTGCATTTGCATTTGCATAACTATCAAGAGAGATATATACATATATATAAAACTATATCTCTCTCTCTATATAAAACTATTATACTGGTTATTAAATGTTGCTTATTAGTCAGATAATGACTTTCTATTGTTATCATTTAGCGGCGTAGCCTAAGCGTAGGGCGCAAGAGATCAACTAATCAATGTCTTGTTTCATTTTAACTTTTATGGAAAATAACGTAAGGACTATTTTAAGCCCTTGGCTCAGTGTCAAACTAATGGGGAATAACCCTACTCTGGATTTCCAACTACATTACAAGGCACTTCCATTTTGTTTCCTCGCCTATTAGGCTCTACGGGGTTTTTCCAAACCAGGGGGTGAGGGCGGGGGATTAATGCCAACTTAAAAGAACCCCTTGGCAACAGCGGAACGCGAACTCACAATTATTTTATCGTTTATAACTTCGGCTATTATGCCCTAGAGTCCAAGCTAGTGGACCAGGACTGGGAGGAGAGTACTAAGGGGGAGGAGAGTACTGTGGACAAGGACTGAGAGGGATTTAAAAGACTCCCACGGCATCGGGACGCGAACCCCTGACTCTTTTTATCTAGTTATCAATTTTCAGGTTGCCGGACAACGGCGGTGCTGTGCACACTGGTTAGCCCGTTCGGCCATCCCACCCCATTTGCTTTCCTCTACCTGACGAAGTAAAGGTATAATGTTCTCTGTTTGTTACTAAAATTAAAAAAGCAGCAGAAACATCTATCCCTAAAAAGAAAACTCATCCGCGGTCCATTACCTTGATTCAAGTCTGACTGCAAATATGCCGTAAGAAAGGCCTATAGAAATTTCAAGAAAAACACGAATCTCCAAAATATATTTTACCATTTTGGAGAGGATTCAGCCCGAAAGCCCCATTCCTCCATCCCTCCCCTCCTGTAAAGCAGCTTTCAGTTTTAAGTCCGACCCTTTTGGTTTATTATTTTCAATAATGAACCATTGTGATCGACCAAAAAATTCAAAAACTTAACCCCCTCTCAAAATTTGAGGTTTCACGTTTCAGGATGCGTAGAACACGAAAATTTGTTTGTCCGCCAGCCGTCCGCGCATTTTCTTCGAAACTACTGGACCGCATTTTTTCGAATTTTGATATAAAATCAGAGGTCACCCGAGAATGATCCTCCTTCATCGACATTACTACATTAATATCCACCTTTAACTTTCAAAATGGCCGCCGAAAAACCTGCGTTGCTATAGACTGCAGCTCCTAAACGAATGTACCGATTTCAATGAAACTTCGCTAAAGTCATTTTCTCGAAGCCATTTAAATTTATCTATATAACTTCTATATACTTCAACGAAAAGAAGCTGGAAAAAAAATTATGAGGGATAGTTAAATTAAATTCCAAATAACTCAAAAAGTTTATACTTTTTTGTTGATATTGTATATAGTTTTTTTAAAGTTTACGAAATTTCCTTAAAAAAAAATCGTTAAAATCGGACAATTAGGAGCAATGATCTCCGTTTTTTTTTAAATGTTGTATCCTTTGTTTGGTTTTTAAATTTTGAAAGTGTTACTGAAGTAGTGCTATTTTTTTTTTAGCATATTACTAATCCAAGTAGTATTATAATAGTCCAATAATTGGAATCACCTTTTATTTATTTTTCTTTGTATTTTTCCTTGTTTCTACTAGAAAGGTAATGTTACTTTAGATGCATAATTGTTTGGAAATAATATACCATTGTGGAGTAATTTGCAGCGTTTTTTACTTTCACTTATGTATGTATGTAATATATAGTAAGGGTATTGCGATCGAGAAAATTTTGAATCTGAGTTTTCAACGGAAATACGTTTTGGGGTACCCTGATTCCAAATAACCAAGTCCCGAAAAATGGTCTGTGTGTATGTGAACACTAGCTCGAAAACGAAAAGTCCTACGAAACTGATATTACGTATTTAAGATAGGTATATGCTTTAGGTATATGCCCAATGTTCATATACGTCTTCCTCTAAAGTACCTTTAATATGGTTTATTTTAAAAAGTTAATCATTTCACATTAATCAGAGTTACGAAAAAATGCTAAATATAACTTTTGAAAGAATTTGAGAAGTTAAAAAAGGAGAAAAAAAGAAAAATGCAGAAAAACCTGCATTGCTATAGACTGTAGCTCCTAAACGAATGAACCGATTTCAATGAAACTTCGTTTAAGTCATTTTCTCGACACCCTATAAATTTATCTATATAACATACTTCAACGAAAAGAAGCTGGAAAAAAAGTTACGAGGGATGGTAAAATTAAATTCCGAATAACTCAAAAAGTATACACTTGTTTGTGGTTATTGTGATAACATGATTCAAAGGAATTTGAATTTCCTAAAAAATGAAAGAAGTTTCATCGAAATCAGAGCACTATTAGTAGAGATATCGCGAGTTTGAAATATTATTACTTTCACTTACGTATATATGTAATATATACGTAAGGATAAGTATTGCGATCGAGAAAATTTTTGAATCTGAGTTTTCAACGGAAATACACGTTTTGGGTTACCCTGATTCCAAAAACCAAGACCCAAAAAAATTTCTGTTTTTCATTGTTTATGTGAACACTTTAGCTCGAAAACGAAGTCCTACGAAACTGATATTACGTATTTAAGACAGGTATATGGCTTAGATGTGGCAGCAACCTTTTTCTTAAAATCGGGAAGTGCCACTTTATATCAACGCTGAAACATATTTTTCCATTGCAGTTTCAGATTTAATTCAATGTTTGGTACAAGATGTTGATCCGTATCTATTCGCGGATGACTTATCAGTTGTCTGCCGCTCCTCAGATCTTATATATATATATATATATATATATATATATATATATATATATATATATATATATATATATATATATATATATATATATAATCAGTTACGACATGCTGTAAATAGTCTTTAAACATGATCACGCAGAACTGGACTACTACTCTCCGCAGAAAAAACCAGGATATGTTAATATCCTAGTATGTTTTTAGAGAGATTACGTAGAAAATGATGTCTAAGAAAATGCATCCGGGGTTAATAGCAAAATCTGTGGGATCAGCAAATGCCAAATAAACTTAGACTAGTCAAACAACCACCAATGAAGTAGTGGATATGCTCCAGACAGTCCAGAAGAGATGAAGTCATATTTGCTCGCTTACGGATTGGACATAGCCGCCTGACTCGTATACTGGCTATTTATTGACAAAACAGCCAACTCTACAGTTTTAGGAATGTCAAACAACCCTCACAGTGAAGCTCACATTTGAAGATTATCCTAAATATAGCGGGAAAATGGCTAAATTAGGAAGGATTGTTACCTCTACGTGAGGATTGTTACCTGAACAAAGTAACCAACTTATTAAAGGAGATGAGACTTTACAATTATATATAAAACTTTATCAATCGTAAATTTCAAGAAAATGTGCGATGATAACCACAGAAGTTGCTCTTTCTTTAAACCAAAATAAATAAATAATACAGTGGGGATATGTGCTGTCAACGGTTTGATTGGTTAGCCAGCTTGGGTCATCCTTTGCTACCTGCTTGTTCTATAACCTCCTCAAAATTTATTAGGAAGCCTAAAGGTTTATAATTGTAATTGTAGAAGTTTATTAGTAATTTATAATTGTGAGTATACTTTAATTATTTCTTTATTTTTTAAATTATCCTTCTTAATTCAGTGGTAATGACAGAAAAAGATTGAAATCGGTTTGGAAACTTGGTTGTATTAAGATAATATCTACTAGCTAACACAATCTTTTTATTTTGAAGTCATTGATTTGTTTTATAAAATTGAAATTTGGTTATACTTACTTTAAATATTTAAAATATGAGCATAGTTGATGATCCTTAGCTTTATTGAGATCTCAAGTAACTAAAATTAGTATTATTTTATGCCAGAATAAATGGTATGACACTCATCATGATCAATTTTTAAGAAATAGATTGTTATGCTGCAAAAGTAATGAAATGAAAAATTATTTTACTTAGTTTTTCTAATAATTGAAATATTAAAACTGTTATTGTTTATTTAAGATGGTCCACTGCTCTGCTTGTGGGTGCTTTAATAGCACTGAAAAGGGTTTTAGTATGAAACGGTTTCCAAGGGATCCTGAGCGGAGGAAGGTTTGGGCAGCTAATGTTAAGAGAGACAATTGGACTCCAACAAATGATAGTCGTATATGCGAGGTATCTCATATGCATATTATTATATAAATGTTAAATTTGTTCTTTTTACACTTAATAATAATAATTTCAGATTGTTAAACTATTACTTTTTACTTTAATAAACACAATCATTCTAGGCTCATTTTACGCCTGACATGTTCGAACAAAATCGAGCTGATGGAAGGCGCTTGTTGAAACAGAATGCGGTTCCCACCATTTTCTCTCATATTCCAGAGAAAAAACCTAGGGAACCTCCAAAGAAAAGATCCATTGAGATAACCTGTAAATCAGAAAAAGAATCAGTCCCAGCAGTTAATGTAAGTTTCTTGAAAATCTCTATCAATTTTAGTTCGTATGGTTTTAATTTCATGCTTACATAATGAATTCCTGGACGAGTATTAGGTTTTTCAAACTAAGTTAAATCTTCCAGTTCAAACAAATTCATGATTTGCTGAAAATATCCTTATTTAATAATAATAATAATACTTTATTTATTCTGGGACGAGTCCCTTTAGAATAATACAGAAGGACAGAAATGTGGGCTAAGGAGCCTCAGAGATACATAAAAAAAATGCTGAGTAATTAAATAGCCATAATAAAAAAATTATAAATTACTTTCTAACTTAAATCAGTTAATAATAAAAAATTGAAAATAAAGTAAAAATAATAAAGAACAATCTAATAATTTATATACATATTTACAGTGGTATCTATTTACAATTTTATGGGGACTGGATGGATAAGAAATGATTGAACAGGCGGGATTTAAAGGTAGGAAGGGTATTGGATTGATGGATGTGGTAAGGGATGGAGTTCCATAGGGATGAAGATCGGATAATGAGCGATCTGTCGAAAGCAGTAGTTCGGTGGACCCTTATCTATAAATCAGAAGACATGGGATGAACAGAGGATTTGAATTGGAAGAGCTTGGAGATGTATGAAGGCCGGTGGGACTGGATGACTTGAAAGAGGAAGGATGCCAGGAAATACTTATGACAGTAGGAAGGATAAAGCCACTTCAACTCTACATAAAAACGGGAAACAGAGGCGGCTCTTGGGATCCGAAGATGAATCGTACAAAGCAATTTATCATACGTTTTAGTTTCACCTCGAGATTCCCAGAGACGTCCCCATACACTGCACAGCAATAGTCAAAGTGGGGAAAAATTAAGGAAGTGACCAGGGGCCTACGGCTTTCAAGGGGAAATAGGTGACGGAAGTAGTTTAGACGTTTTAAGGTGGAAATGGTACGGCGGGAGATGTTGGTTTTTCCAGACAAGCATTTGATTAAAGGTTGTTCCAAGGTCTTTGATAAAGGGATAAAATTTGATAGGATTATCGTGTAGGAATAGAGTTGAAATATGAGGAACAGTTTTAAGGAGGTTGGATCCAATTAAGATTGCTATTGTCTTTTCCACATTCATCTTCAACTTGTTGGCTCTTGCCCAGTTACAAATCTTATCCAAGTCTTCTTGAAGTTTTTCTGTGGCTGATAATAGGTAGGAGGGCGGGAAGGACAGGTATATTTGGAAATCATCTGCATAGATATGGTATTGGGAGTGATGGATCAGGAGGGGAAGATCATTAATGTAAATAGCAAACAGAGAAGGAGATAGAGAGAAACCTTGAGGGACACCACAGGAGAGGGGGAGGGTCTTAGATGGAAGTTGACCTGGGACGACTACATAATGGGACCGATTTGAAAGGATGAATTTGAACCAACACAGGACACTGTTGGATAGAGGAAGATTGTGCAATTTCGTAAGGAGATTGTAGTGTATCAATGAATTCTGTAAATCAAACACAAACAATTTTCTCTTTATTGTTCCTAAATACATTACATCACATTGCATTGGTGCTCTTCACCGCTCACACAACATATGACTCATTCCAAAGAGATTGAATACTTCAATAAATAAATTGAATAAATTCCAAAGAGATTATCGATATAACATCGTTTTAGTATTCAACCCTCCGACAAAAGGTTAATATACTACATTCTTTCCACCCTCAAGAAAACAACAATTCAACAACAAACTTAAATTTCCTCTATAAGTCTTTTTACAGGTTTTGTAGTTCTTCGTAGGCACATTTCAGTTTCTTCACAGGGAGCAGCCGTCCCATTAGGACTCTTCTCCAACAGCATAGGCAAATCGGTGGATATTTGAGGATCGCTGTCTGATTTATTTTTCAGGGGCTCCGCTACATTCTCTGGAGGCTCCTCGTCGCTAAACGATTTGATAGATGATTCTTCCATTGGTGCCAACCTTACTTGGTCCAAATGACGAAGTTGTATTCTTTGATGGTACAAACACTTTCATTTTAAATAATGGACCAACATGTTTTTTCACTGTAGCTTGCACCCACTTATCTTCCTTCAGATTGTGATTAATTACCCATACTCTATCTCCCTCTGCAGACCAGTTCTTTGTGTTGGACCTTCCACCATATTTTTTTATTTGTTTCTCTTTACTTTAATCTTGGTTGCAGGAGGTTTCAATAGATCGAGTCGTGTTCGTAATGATCTTCCAAACAAAGCTTGAGCTGGAGATATTTTCATAGTAATATGTGAGCAGTTGCAATAGCCAAGCAGAAAACGGTTTAGTAAAATGCTTAAATCAGCACACTTTTCGGAGCATAGAGCAATCTTCAATGCTTTCTTAACGGTCCACATTGCATTTTCAGCTGCTCCATTGGTTTTGGGTGAATAGGGTGGTCCATGCTTCAATGTCACTCCATTGTGAGATAAAAATTTTTAAATATTTCAGAATCAAATGCCAGGAAATTGTCACAAACAAATTCTTCCGGCAAACCAAATCTTGCAAATAGTTGATGCAAAATTTTAACTGTGGTAGAGGTTGACATTGAAAAAGTTGGAAAAACTTCAAGCCATTTTGAATGGCTATCGATTACAATTAAAAAATATTTCCCAATAAACGGACCTAAATAATCAATGTTCAACCTCTCCCAGGGCTTGGATGGCCATTGCTAAGGTACTAATGTCATCTTCACCGGGTTATCTTTTGTAATATTACAGGCTCGACATACTTGTACTATTTTTTCAATAGCCTTGTCCATTTTTGGCCACCATATGTATGAACGGGCTAATGATTTTAATTTCATGATTCCCAAATGTGAAGCATGTAACTCATCCAAAACTTGTTGCCTTAAAAGTTCAGGAACTGCCACTCTGCAACCCCACAACAGAATATCCTTCTCCACAAATAATTCTTCCCTACGTGATGAAAAATGTTGGAGCTCCGGGTCCACTTCTGTTGGCCTGCCCACTTTTGTGTACAATATAATTTTCATCAAAATCGTTATTTCCTAGTTGCTGCCAATATCTTTTTAAAGTCTACAGGCAAATCTTCATTGCTATCAAATATATAATTAATACATAAATCAGCTTCTCGGGATCTCCTCAATAATCAATTAATCAATCGGACAATCAGGTACAGGGGCCCGTGACAACCAATCAGCAAGATTTCCCTGGGATCTTACCCACTCAGTCTTATAAGTATAGTTGGCCATTATCAATGCCCACCTTTGCAATCGGTTTGCTGTACACATTGGTATTCCTTGTTTGGGTCCAAATATTGCTAGCAGAGGCTTATTATCATTTACCGAAATAAATTCCCTTCCATATAAATAGATGTGGAATTTTTTCACTCCAAAAATCAAAGCTGCTGCTTCTATAATTGAGAGTAAGCCCTTTCTGCAGTGGACAGGGATCTACTCGCAAAAGCTAGTGGCTTGTCCACCCCTTCAGATTGTTGAAAAATCACTGCTCCCAGACCAGAGTCTGAACCATCCACAGCAAGTCTAATAGGAATTGACAGGTCATAATGAGCTAGTGAACGATTTTCTTGAACTACTGCTTTTATCCTATGAAACACCTCATCACATGTAGAAGTCCAGTTCCAAGGAATTTCTTTCTTCAGCAAACTGTACAAAGGACTTAGTATTGACGATAATCTCGGTATAAATTTTGCCAGGAACATCATAAAGCCGATGAAGCTTTGTAATTCCTTAACGTTTTGGGGTCTTGCAGTCCGCAGAATGGCATTCACCTTGTCATCATTGGAATGCAGGCCGGATGCATCAATCCTAACCCCCAAATACTCCAATGATTTTTTCCAAACACATTTTTTAGTTGAAACGGTAAGACCAGCAGCATTGAGCCTATCTAACACTCGAAACATGCGGATTTTTAATTTATCTAAGTTTTCTGCACCAATCAATATATCATCCAGCAATACAGCAGTTCCATCAAGTCCATCGAATAATGAAATGAAAATATTTTTTTATTATCCTTGGGACTGTTGTCCCTTTAGGACAAATTACAGATACAGAATAAATGCCTGTGAGCCCATACATAAAATTAATTATTTACAATTATTATTAAGATTAAGATTTTGATAAAAGAATAAAACAAAAAATAGAACTATTACACTAAAAACATTCTGATATGTATAATACAAACGTGGGATAATAAAATAGCATAAGTAAAGAAAATCTTTTCTGGGGGAACTTTAAAAGTTCTCTTATCTACATTTCATGATCAATCGGGTTGGGAAAGAAAGGAGTAGATGGTTAAAAAGGAGAGATTTAAATGAGGAAACTGATTGTACATGTCAGATATCGGGAGGGATGGTATTCCAGAAGGAGGCGGCTTGAATTATTAAGGACTTGTCAAATAAGGATGGTGAGTTTCTGCTGGTCCATGGCTGTATGAAGGTCTTGAGAAATTTTGATGAGTGCAGACTGAGTGGAGTGGCCAGGCCGGAAACCGGACTGGTTGGGATTTAGGAGGTTATTCTGTTCTAAAAAATCGGATACCTGGGTTTGAACTAGTCGCTCTAAAGGTTTGGAAAGATTTGAGATGAGAGAAATTGGATGGAAATCATTGAGAGTTGATAGGTTGGAAGTCTTTTTCATAGGGCGATCTAGTGCGGTTTTCCAGGATGTAGGAAAGGTAGCGTTTTGTAGTGAGTAATTGTAGATATGATAGAGGATTGGAAGGATGGATGGTAGTGAGGCTTTGATCAGTCTGACTGGGATGTTATCAGGTTTGCGACTTTTGAATGGAGTTGAGGAGGTCATCAGGTGTAATATGGGAAAAAAAGAATTGATCAGGATTAAAATTTATAGGGAAACACACAGGAGTCAGCATAGCCGCAGGATATGAGGATGAGAAGGGACAGGAGACAAAGTGAGCGTTAAGGTCATCAGCAGAAAAGGAGATGAGCTGGGTTTGAGGTGTGTTGCAATAGGTCAGTTTTTTTAGGATAACCCACTTGGCCTTGGAGTTTAGGGAGTTGGATAAAGAATGGTGGAAGTAACGGGATTTGGTTTGAGGAGAAAAAAATGGGACCGGGATGTTGTAGGAAATCGGGATAAGATCATGGGAAGACAGAAATGGAACCGGGTGCTGAGATTCCGACAAGAGTTTATCCAGGGAATCCAAGACAAACAAATCAAGCCAGGACTCTGAGAACTGGGTATGATGGGTAGGGTTGTAGGGTACTATATAAAGGCTGAGTGATTGGAGGAGGCCTGTCAGGTAGGAATGGTCAGAAGATCGTATCATTAAATTGGTATTGAAGTCTCCGTTGAGGATAATATTGGAGTAGGAAGGGATAAAGTTGTAAAGGGAAGTCTCAAATGATTCATCAAACGGAATTCTTGGAGGACGATAAATGACTTCAAAGAGAATGGGAGATGATGGGGTGAGGATTTCAGTAAAAAGATATTCCAGTTGCGGATAATCGGTATGGAAAGAGCACTGTAGGATTTTGAAGTTAAGGCTGTCATGGACAAAGAAGCTCACTCCACCACCTGTACGATCCTCTCTGTCATGACGAAGGAGGGTATAATTGGGTAAAGTAATTTGGGAAGACGGAATAGAGGGCTTTAACCAGGTTTCAGAAACTGCAATTAAATGGTAGAAGTTGTGGAGGAAACAATCATAAAATTCATCAAAATGGGCTATGAGTGACTGAGTGTTGACGTGGTAGGTTAAAAGGATATTATTCATGGGAGAAGGAAGGGTGGCTTGGTTAACAGACTGGAAGTGCTAGAGGTAGGAATATTTTTATAGTGGTTGGAGCTAGTATGAGCCCAGAGTACATAATTGTTGATGACACCTCTATTGCGAAGAATCATGAGTGTAATAATAAATGATGCTAAACAAAAACAGAAAATAAAGAATAGTAATTTTCCAGGTATTATTAATGTTGAAAAGTTGGAGATATACAATTCAGTAAACGAAAGATGTACCTCTACATCAGAATAAAACGTATTTAAGTGTATTAAAATGTCTAAAAGAATGAAATATAGACTGTTCTTATAAACGAAAATAAAATAATTATCAAAATAAATTAGATCAAAAACAACTAAATTGTAATCTTGAAAAAAAAAATAAAAATAGAAGTGTGCAAAAACAGAAATGAAAAATAAAGTGAGCAGAGCAATTAAACATGTGAGTGCAAGTCATGTGAATATGACCAAGTCCGATGGCGAGTTGATCACGACAACCTGCTGGCCATCATCACGTCGACATTTCACTTACATAAAAATAATGCATCCATAATTTTTTGAAATTTGCTTGGAGCAGGTGCCACTCTGAAGGGAAGGCGTGTATAAGTAAACAGCCCTTTTTGTGTTGTAATAGTGAGTAGTGACCTACTCACTTCATCTACAACCACTTGTTGATAAGTATGTGACAAATCTATTTTTGCAAAAACCTTATATCCTTGAACTTTATGAAATAAATCTTCTACTCGTTGAAGAGGATGCTGATCGATTTCAAGGCATGGGTTTAGAGTCAGTTTATAATCACCACAGATCCTCACTGTTCCTCTTTTCTTCAATACTGAAACAATTGGTGAACCCCATGAACTATAGTTAATAGGTATCAGAATACCTTCCTGCACTAATCTTTCCAATTCCGCATCTACTTTAGCCTTTATGGTAAAAGGCACAGGCCTTGCTTTTATGAACTTAGGTTTGAAATCCGATTTTAATGTTATCGTACCACCTGTAAAAGCTCAAGCCGATCAGAAAACACCTCTGGATAACAATGTATGGCTTCCGCCCACAAAGTTGATTCCTCATTACTAAAAAATAAAGGTTTTGCCTCGTAGCTATTCATAATTTTAAATCCTAGTTCCTTGAACCATGTTCGTTCAAGAACCATCCGATTCCACCACATACAATTCCAGACTTGAGTATATGCGGCCATTATAGTCCACATCCATGTTTAATCAGGCCCAGAGGTGCCCACCTTTCCTGGGAATATGAGACAAAAGTCTTATTTGCAGCTCCCAATTTTAAGCCAGACAGTTTCTTCTTAAAAAGTTTAAGAGGCAAAATAGTGCTTGAACAACCAGTATCTACTTTAAATACTTTATCAACCTGGTTGATTTTTAGGTTCACCTGATACCCGATTCCTTATGAGAACTGTCAATTTTATATAGGCATTCCAGATCAGAAGATACATCCTCCTCTATATAGTGTGATCTTTCAACCCTCAGTTGTTCGGTTGTCTTCTGTCAAACTTACGCACAAGAGCTAGATGCCCTATTTTCTGACAATTATTGCAGGTATATTCCCTGAAACGACATTTGCCAGAACTGCACTTTACAACAAATGCTACATTTGTTTGAATATCTTTTATTAGTTTGCCCCCTAGAGACTGATGGACTATCTTTCTCTGCTAACAAAGTATACAGGCTCCTTTTTAACCGCTATATCTAAATTATACTGCCTAAATGAAGCTTCTTTTGCAGTAGCTATTTCTGTAGCCCTACGCAGTGAAATTTTCGCAGGATTTTCTTCGAACAGCCGATTCCTTATCGGTCCTTTATTCATACTTATAACAAATTTATCTAACATAATAAAATCAACATAATTGTTGAAAGCACAATGGGAAGCCAGGTCCCGAATGCGGGCTACCCATTCATTTATTGATTCAGTATCTTCCATAGCTGCATTGTAGAATCTGTAACGGGCTCCAAAGAGTGATTCAGACGGTACAAAATATTCATCAAATAATTTTAAAAGTTCTGAAAAGATTAAACCTTATGATTCCTTTATCCTTTATTTTATTCAGTATTCCTTGCAAGTCCGAGTAGAAAGCTTCTTTGTCCATGATTCCTGCATCATCTGTTGGTGCATATGCTTGCACCAAAGTAACCTTACCGACGGCCAAATAAAAATCTGCTGCAATTATTCTTGACAAGACCCTATAAGAGAATGCATCTGGGATAAATAGCAATATCTGTGAGATCAGCAAATGACAAATAAACTTATACTGGTCAAACAACCATCAATGAAGAAGTGGATATGCTCCAGACAGTCCAGAAGAGACTATCGCTTACGGATTGGACATAGCCGCCTGACCCACAGCTATCTCATGGCAAAACAGCCAACTCTGTCAAACGACCCTCACAGTGAAGCACATATTTGAAGATTGTCCTAAATATAGCAGAAAAATGGCCAAATTAGGCATACCTGGATTCCTCGTCAAGGCTCTTTAAGTGAGGACTGTTACCTGAACAAGATCCTTAGCTTTATTGAGATATCATGTAACTAAAAGTATTATCTTTTCTGCCAGAATAAATGGTATGATACTCATCATGATTGATTTTTAAGAAATAGATTGTTATGATGCAAAAGTATTAAAATGAAAAATTATTTTACTTAGTTCTAATAATTGAAATTCTAAGACTGTTATTGTTTATTTAAGGTGGTCCACTGCTCTGCTGTTGGGTGCTTAAATAGCACTGAAAAGGGTTTTAGTATGAAACGGTTTCCAAGGGATCCTGAGCGGAGGAAGGTTTGGGCAGCTAATGTTAAGAGAGACAATTGGACTCCAACAAATGATAGTCATATATGTGAGGTATCGTATATGATTGATTTCTTTTATTTGTCAAAGAACATGATTTCTTGTAGAAATAATTCAAAATATATCATCATGTGAGTCGTTTCTTGCACTTCATAATAAAGCTTGCATTTTAAATAAACAATTACTCTCATTATAATAAATAAACAGAGGCCATATGATATTAGATACATAATTATACTTCAATTTATGAATCAATTATTAATATATATACTGTAAGGTTACGTTCCCTTCGAAAAGTAAACAAAACATTTTCTGAATCAAATAATATTAATTTTAATCAATAATTAATTTTCAGGTTGGGTTGAGACAACAAATACACATCCTCAAATATACAATATAAAGGCATACATTAATTGTACATAACATTTATGAATTTCTATTGTTTGTCGGGGTCTAATCTTGGCGCACTTTCGAACTGTCTATTTTTGTATGTCACTCATCCTGTTCTGCAGTGAATCTTCCTCTGTATTGTTGTATCCAACTTCCACAACCTTCTCTTCTTCTTTTATTTTCTTGTCTTCGTCTAGACACTCAATATTTGTTAACTCACATTTTCTCTCTCAATCCTTTTTACTAGCCGGCTGGTTACCTTCTGCCCTAACATATGGCACTTGCTCCCCCACCAATTGTCATTCTTAGTCTCTTTGTCCATTTTTGACAGTAGTTCATGACGTCACTACTTTCGGGCCACTATTCAAAATCGCTATATAATATTTACATATACATATATATATTTGTATGCTTACACATATCCATGCATATCAAGTAGTACAAAATAAATAAATACAACAAAAATTCATAACAAAATAAACATTAACCAATTCAATACCCTAATGACAAAAACGCTGTTAATAACCATTCAATTGGTATGGGACGTTATCATTTCGGGAATAGAGTAAATATTGGCTACTGATAATAAAAATAAATATTGGATGATGGACTATTAAGAAGAAGATGATGTAGGCTGTTAATTACATATTGTTTACAGGCATTGCAGATTTTTTCATCTTGTATAATGTAAGATTTATTTTGCAGATAAATACTTACGGTGTGTGGGTTCGAGATTCTAAAACGGCTGACAACTCGCGTTTTGTGTTTACAAGTATTGAAAATATACTCTTCAGGAGTAAAATATAGACGGCTGAAAGTTCTGTACTGGATTTTGATTTAAATTCAGAGCTCTATTGATGCCTTGAGACAGATTTTACATTTTTTCAATAATGGTCTTCTGGTTTTGCATTCTCCCGTCTTGTAGATCTTGTTTAGTTCATTGAGACTATTAGTTCCTGTGGCTAGATTTTGAACTTGTAAGACACAGTTAAAATCAATGGCAACTTCTTGCATACTTCTTAGTCTATTGAAGCACATTCGTAGAAAGCTGTCCTCTGATAGCGTTTTGAGTCTTATTCAGAGATTGATTACTTTTTTTACTATCATAATTCTTAGAGGACGTCATCCAGTCTCCAGTTTAACTATGTAATTCGGTATACTTTTAGGCCAAAGGAAATTTTAGCTAGATGACTTCGAGTGCATCTGAATACCTTAAACTCCATATCTCGGCAGCGTAAAGCAATATAGTTGAAACTATTGAATCAAAAAATATCATTTTTGTTTGCAGGCGACACTCTTTCCTTTTAGAAGGATTTCTAGTACCCTGCCACTTGCCACGGATGCCCTTTGAATAAAATGTTTAGATGCTTTGTGGAATTTCCTAGAAGATGAGATTTGCACCCCTATATTAGTATAGCTGTTAGCGTATTCTAGTTGAGAATTCTGCCAATAGAGAGGTTTTCAGTGTCTTAGTTTTGGAAGACTTGTGGAATAGAACTGCTTTTGATTTTGCTGGGTTTAACGTTAAGCCGTTGATCCTGCAGTATTGTTCGAGAATCCTCAATTTCTTTTGTGCACCATACCAGGTAGTGTCAAGAAGAACAATGTCATCTGCAAACTACATTGTTACTTCATGGTTTTTGTCTATGGAAATACCTTTAGCCCCGTTGTCAATGAAATAAGTTATAATATCTGAAATAAATAATATCAAGAACGCTGGACTGAGACATTCTCCTTGTAACAAGCCAGATGTTACTTTTATTTCTTATGATAAAGCCACTCCAATTTTGATCTTAATCACCGCTTCATCATAAAGTACTTTTAACAGTCTGATGAATTTTCCACTAACGCCAATGCTAAACAGTTTTTTCCAAAGGAGGTTATGGTTTTTAGAATCAAAGGCTTTTTTGAAGTCTATAAATATTGAGTATACATTGCTGCCTTTCAACCTCAGGTTAATGTGAATAAGTGACGTAAGTGTGAAATTATGGTCCACACAACCCCTGCCAGCTCTAAACCCTGCCTGCTTTTCAGGTACTATGTTCTCTGATTCAGCCCATAACATTAGCCTATTAGTTAAGATACTTGTGAATAGTTTAGTGACTGAGTTGACTAGTGATATTCCCCTATACTTATCGAGATTCTTCCTGACTTTCTATTGCAGAGCTTAGATTCTTGTGGTGGGTTTTTAAAGTAGTAAAACAAGCTAGATGGTATAGAAATTCAGATATACATATAATTCCATATCTTGGAATATTGATAAGCAATTATTGTTTATCCACGTTAAATCGATAGTACTTCTTCTTGATGTTGAGAGATATGTATATTTCCCAGGTCTGTCTGATTGTGTTCTCCCATTACATAAAACGAATCCCAGGTTCTCCATAGTTTCTACTAGCTGTTTACCACATTTGTTTATATTGCTGTGTAGGACAACTCTTTTATTGTAGAGGTTTGAATTCGCTATTGAGTCTTCATCTAAGTTATTCAGGTCTCCGACATGGCAGTTGAAGTCTCCATTGAGAATAATAAAACTACTGGGGAATCTAGCTGTATTCCTAACTAATATTAAGGTCTTCCAGACAGCAGTCTTATTTCACATCCTGGTGAAAGATACATATTTCCTACTGTTGTAAGTGAACTAACAATTTTTAAGTTTAGAAAGATCCAATATCTAGAACATTCCAAAATACATGTGTTACATACAAGATCAATCTTGATAAATGTTATCAATCCTCCACTACCTCTTCCAATTGTACTAGTTTTTATTGCTCTGGTCGAATACGCAGTGTATTCACTCAACCAATAAGGCAGAATGAAGTTATCATGTACAAGCCATGTTTCGACAACGCATATTACAGCGCTTAACATTCTTCCATTGTGAAATTAAATAAATTCTTAAAGCCATTAATATTGTAAAATTAAAAGTGTTTATTAGTTTTCCATGCTTTTGTTAGAATTTCGAGGTTCAGTCTGCACCGAAGGTCGAGGTACCGGAAGTGATAGGGACATTAAATTTACAGATCATGAAGCTTGAATGTCAGAGGAGCTCCTAGGCCGGAATTTATATCGCTCAAACTTCTCTGCTTTACGTTTCTTAGGGGCTTGATCTATCTTAGAAACACTCTCTTTATTAACCAGATCGTTAATTAAATTTTCTGCTTCCTCTAGCTCGTAAGTCTACCCTTGAATTTAAAAATACCTCTTCTATAACTACAGTAGGTATCAAAGTCTTTTAGCTTCATTAGGCATGAGTAGATTTTTATGAGGTATCTATATGAATATTATATAAATGTTAAATTGGTTCTTTTTACACTTAATAATAATTTCAGATTGTTAAACTATTACTTATTACTTTATTTCACCCAATCATTCTAGGCTCATTTTACACCTGACATGTTCAAACAAAATCGAGCTGATGGAAGGCGCTTGTTGAAACAGAATGCGATTCCCACCATTTTCTCTCATATTCCAGAGAAAAAACCTAGGAAACCTCCAAAGAAAAGATCCATTGAGATAACCTGTAAATCAGAAGAAGAATCAGTCCCAGCAGTTGATGTAAGTGTCTTGAAAATCTCTCTATCAATTTTAGTTCGTATGTTTTTAATTTCATGCTCACAATGAATTCCTGGACAAGTATTAGGTTTTCCAAACTAAATTAACAATTTTTATAGGAAGTCAAATCTGAAATTTGATATTCATATATTTTAAGTGAAGTTTTTAAGCTGTAATGTCAATAGCGTGTCGCAGGGCACTTGCAGATCCAGGATTTAATTTTAAGGAGAGGCTTCAGCCCGAAAGATTTTTTTTTCATATATTTAACAATAATTAATTTGAAAATGGTGTTTAAACAATTCTTAATCGAAGTCCTATTAAATGTAATTACACGAACAATAATCATAATGAAATCTGTTGCTTGCTAAAAAGTCTTCAAACCAGGAGCAGAATGGTAGTTTTTATCAGTGTATTAAGCCATATTGGCAAAAAGGACATTGATATGGCCGATAAAACTGCAACTTAAGCCCACTTGATGGATAAAGTTGAAAGCTGTTAACTAAAATCTTTCAGTCAATAAGAGAATGCATCTGAGGTAAATGGTAAAATCTGTGGGATCAGCAAATGACAAATAAACTTAGATTAGTCAAACAACCATCAATGAAGTAGTGGATGTGCTCCAAACAGTCCAGAAGAGATAAAGTGATATTTGCTCGCTTACGGATTGGACATCGCCGCCTGATCCATGGCTATCTATTGACAAAACAGCCAACTCTACACTTTTAGGAATGTCAAACAACCCTCACAGTGAAGGACACATTTGAAGATTGTCCTAAATATAGTAGGAAAATGGCCAAATTAGGCATACCTAGATCTCTTACCAAGGCTCTAAGTGAGGATTGTTACCTGAACAAAGTAACCAAGTTATTAAAAGAGATGAGACTTTACAATTATATATAAAATTTTATCAAGTTGAAGGAAATTTCAAGAAAACGTGCGATGTTAACCACAGAAGTTGCTCTCCCATTAAACCAAAATAAATAAATAATACAGTAATACTGTGAGGACATGTGGTGTCAACGGTTTGATTAGTTGGCCAGCTTGGGTCGTCCCTTGCTACCTGCTTGTTTTATATCCTCCTCAAAACTTGTTAGCCAGCATAAAACATATAATCGTGAGTATACTTTAATTTTTTACTTTATTTAATAAATTGTTTTTCATAATTCACTGGTAATGAAAGAAAAAGATGGAATTCAGTTTTGATAATACTAGCTAACACAATTTTTGTTTTGAAGTCGGTGATTTGTAGTATAAAATTGAAATTTGGTTATTCTTACTTTCAATATTTAAAATATGAGTATAGTTGATGATCCTTAGCTTTATTCAGATCTCGAGTAACTAAAAGTAGTATTCATTTATGCCAGAATAAATGGTATGGCACTCATCATGATCATTTTTTAATAAATAGATTGTTATGCTACAAAAGTAATGAAATGAAAAATTATTTTACTTAGTTTTTCTTATAATTGAAATTCTAAAACTGTTATTGTTTATTTAAGATAGTCCACTGCTCTGCTTTTGGGTGCTTTAATAGCACTGAAAAGGGTTTTATTATGAAACAGTTTCCAAGGGATCCTGAGCAGAGGAAGGTTTGGGCAGCTAAAGTTAATAGAGACAATTGGACTCTAACAAATGAAAGTTATATATGTGAGGTATCTATATGAATATTATTATATAAATGTTAAATTGGATCTTTTTACACTTAATAATAATAATTTTGGATTGTTAAACTATTACTTATTACTTTATTTCACACAATCATTCTAGGCTCATTTTACACCTGACATGTTCGAACAAAATCGAGCTGATGGAAGGCGCTTGTTGAAGCCGAATGCGATTCCCACCATTTTCTCTCATATTCAAGAGAAAAAACCTAGGACACCTCCTAAGAAAAGATCCATTGAGATAACCTGTAAATCAGAAGAAGAATCAGTTCCAGCAGTTGATGTAAGTTTCTTGAAAATCTCTCTATCAATTTTCGTTCGTATGGTTTTAATTTCATGCTCACATAATGAATTCCTAGACAAGTATTAGGTTTTCCAAACCAAGTTAACAATTTTTATGGATGGTCAGTGGAAATTCCTTGGAAGTTCTTTCCGGCTAAGTCCGATGGACTCGCTGACCAACAATGAGAGGGTTCCTCCAGACTTGCTGGAGGGTGTGGCGTAAGATTGAACGCCCTACTCACATATCTTATGTTCACCATACACCATAAATAGTCATGGATCTCCCTAAAGTAAAATGCTCATTACCCGGTAAACTGCAATGTCAACAGTGTGCCGCAGGGCACTAGCGGATCCAGGATTTAATTTTGGGGGAATGCTTCAGCCCGAATTTTTTTTAATATATATAATGATAATGAATTTGAAAAAAAAGAAAGACATTAACTACCTGCATGAAATGGTGTTTAAACGATTCTTGAAATCCTATTAAATGTAATTACACAATAATAATACTTTAAGATATAGGTTTAATATATATATATATATTTTTTTTTTTATCATGGTTATATTTTACCATTTGGAGGGGATTCAGCCTGAAAGCCCAGTCACTCCCCTCCCTCCCTGGTAGATCCGCCTGTGCCGCAGGTTTCAGTTTTAAGTCTGACCTTTTTTTCCATTGTAGTTTTAGATTAAAATGAATGTTTGCACAAGATGTTGATGCGTATCTATTCGCTGATAACTTTTCAACTGGCTGCTGCTCCACAGATATTATATATATATTGTAACGTAAATATTGCATAGTAATTTTAAATAGTGGCGCGAACGAAGTGATGTTGTAAATGGACGAAGATAGACGGAAGGGGAAGCAAGACCCATATGTAAGGGCCGAAAGTAACCAGCCGGCTAATAAAGAGGATTGAGAAAAGAAAATGTGACTTAACAAGTAGTGAGTGTCAACAAAGAAAGATTAGAAGATTGATAGAAGTTGAACTCAACAATACAGAGGGAATTGTTCAAAATAAATAAATAATACACTGGGGACATGTGGTCTCAACAGTTTGATTAGTTGATAGCTTGGGACTTCCCTTGTTACCTGCTTGTTTTATAGCCTCCTCAAAAGTTGTTAGCCAGCATAAGAATCATAATCATGAGTATACTTTAATTTTTTACTTTATTTTATAAATTGTCCTTCATAATTCAGTGGTAATAAAAGAAAAAGATGGAAATCAGTTTTGAAACTTGGTTATATAAAGATCATATCTCTAATTTGATAATACTAGCTAACACAATTTTTGTTTTGAAGTCTTTGATTTGTAGTATAAAATTGAAATTTGGTTATTCTTACTTTCAATATTTAAAATATGAGTATAGTTGATGATCCTTAGCTTTATTAAGATCTCGAGTAACTAAAAGTAGTATTCTTTTATGCTAGAATCATTGGTATGACACTCATCATGATCAATTTATAAGAAATAGATTGTTATGCTACAAAAGTAATGAAATGAAAAATTATTTGACTTAGTTTTCTTATAATTGAAATACTAAAACTGTTATTGTTTATTTAAGATCATCCACTGCTCTGCTTATGGGTGCTTAAATAGCACTGAAAAAGGTTTTAGTATGAAACGGTTTCCAAAGGATCCTGAGCAGAGGAAGGTTTGGGCAGCTAAAGTTAATAGAGACAATTGGACTCCAACAAATGAAACTTATATATGTGAGGTATCTATATGAATATTATTATATAAATTGAATCTTTTTACACTTAATAATAATAATTTCGGAATTGTTAAACTATTACTTATTACTTTATTTCACACAATCATTCTAGGCTCATTTTACACCTGATATGTTCGAACAAAATCGAGCTGATGGAAGGCGCTTGTTGAAGCAGAATGCGATTCCCACCATTTTCTCTCATATTCAAGAGAAAAAACCTAGGACACCTCCAAAGAAAAGATCCATTGAGATAACCTGTAAATCAGAAGAAGAATCAGTCCCAGCAGTTGATGTAAGTTTCTTGAAAATCTCTCTTATCAATTTTAGTTCGTATGGTTTTAATTTCATGCTCACAATGAATTCCTAGACAAGTATTAGGTTTTCCAAACTAAGTTAACAATTTTTGTAGGAAGTCAAATCTTCCAGTTCAAACAAATTCATAATTTTCTGAATATATCCTTATTTATTGTATGTAATTACCAACATGAGTATGGAATTTGATATTCATATATATTTAGTGAAGTTTTTAAGCTGCAATGTCAATAGTCTGCCGCAGGGCACTAGCGGATCCAGGATTTAATTTTGGGGGGATGCTTCATTATAAGGATAATGAATTTGAAAAATAAAGGAAGAGATTAACTACCTACATGAAATGGTGTTTAAAGTATTCTTGAACTCCTATTAAGTGTAATTACACGAACAATAATACTGTAAGAGATAGTTTTTAATATATATATATATATATATATATTTTTTTTTTTTTTTATATCATGGTTATATTTTACCATTTTGGGGAGATTCAGCCCGAAAGCTCCCTCACTCCTCCCTCTCCCCGGTAGATCCGACTGTGCCGCAGGGCTCAGTTTTAAGTCCGACCCTTTTTTCCATTTCAGTTTCAGATTTAACTGAATGTTTGGGTCAAGATATTGATGCGTATCTATTCGCTGACTTTTCAATAGTCTGCTGCTCCACAGATCTTATATATATATATATATATATATATATATATATATATATATATATCACATACATATATATATATAATATATATATAATATTACTATATATATATATACACACATTGATCCTCAAAGCAATACCTTATACGAGCGAGCAAATAATCCATCGCTTCCCATCATTTTCAGGTTTTACGATATGTTAAGCAAAATTAAAAACAACAAATCTCTTCCTTGGGTTTGGGCCTATTCCCTCCCCTTTTTAATATGGATCTATTCAAACTTATATGTGTGAGGTATCTATATGAATATTATTATATAAATGTTAAATGGGTTGTTTCTACACTTAATAATAATAATTTTGGATTGTTGAACTATTACTTATTAATTTATTTTACCCAATCATTCTAGGCTCATTTTACACCTGACATGTTCGAACAAATTCGAGCTGTTGGAAGGCGCTTGTTGAAGCAGACCGCGATTCCCACCGTTTCCTCTCATATCCCAGGGGAAAAACTTACGAAACCTCCAACGAAAAGTTCTCCAATTGAGATAACCTGTAATTCAACAGAAGAAGAATCAGTCCCAGCAGTTGATGTATGTTTCTTGAAAATTGTCTATCAATTTTAGTTCATATGGTTTTAATTTCATGTTTACATAATGAATTCCTAGACAAGTATTAGTTTATCCAAACTAAGTTAACAATTTTTGTAGAGAGTCAAATCTTGCAGTTCAAACAAATTCATAAGTTGCTGAAAATATCCTTATTTACTGTATGTAATTATCAACATGTATATGAAATTTGATATTCATATATTTTAAGTGAAATTTTTAAGCTTCAATGTCAATATATATGCCAATACTGTTAAAAACCGGGCTTATAAACTGGCAAACCCCTTAATATGTTTAACTTTATGTCTTATTATGATATCTTTTTAGAATTTATAATTATTCATTGTGATATATAAACTTTCATATTTCTGATACTTTCCTTAAATACATAGTTCATTTGTCATTTATTTATTTCATTTATTATTTTATGCTGTCAAAATTTCAATTTGTCATCATTGAATCAGAGTGCAATAATTTAAGATGGTTCTAAAAATTTTACTTTAGAATAAAATCTTAAATTGCTTTGTTGAAAATCTGAAACACCCTTACTTAGTGCAGACCCATGGTATAGTAAAATTCTTAAATTTGGTTTGGAAATCTATAAATTTGATTTGGAAATTTTTGAATAGTACTTAGAAATGCTATCTATGTCTCCAGAAGATTGTACTTACAAAAATATTGTAGTAGTCCTCAAATTTCAATCTTCATATTTATTACATGTTTAACGTTTTTGGCCACTCACCTTTTTAAAAATCGATGACATGGGTCAATATTAGGTATTGCAGTTTAGATGTTAAAATCAGTTAAAACATAATTTTAGTGATATTTGTTGAGCAAAGTAAAAAAGTATATTATGCAATCAAAAAAATAATTCCCATCTTAAGGGAAAAAATCAGTTTTCATATCATGTTACAGAAAGCTAAGGTAAAATTTTAAATATTTTATTGAATTTTAAAGGCTTTCATAAATTAAGTTCATAACTATTATGTTTTCAGGATGTCAGTTGGCCTTTATCAAAATATAACATAGGGCTTTTTATTTCCTTCTTAATAATAAAAATATTCACACAAACTGCATGTATTGATACTGACATGTAATCTTATCAAAATTTACTTGGCATTTCAATATATTTCCTCTTATGCTATGTTGTTTATTTTTAGATATGCTCTACTGTTGATTCCAACACTGCTACAGTAGAGAGAACAAAGGACGGCGTCCCAAGTTCATCCAGTACTGCTGCAGTAGAGAGAACACAGGAGGACGGCATCCCAAGTTCAACTTCTTCATCATCCTCTGCTCCTTCACCTACTTTATTTCCTCAGATGAAACAACAGGAACTTCTTAAAACTCTGATAAAATCATACAATAAAATAGTGGACAAAAATAATCGTCTTAAAGTTAAATTAAGAAAAATGAAAAACATTTTGAAAAAAAAACAAGAAAACATATATTTAAAATGTTTGAAAAAAGTTTTTACTAATAATCAAATCAAAGCACTAATGAAAGATACGGTGAAATCAAAAACAAAATGGGATAGTAACACAATAATAAAAGCATTAAAAATGAAGTTCGCATGCGGAAGTAATGGGTATAATGAACTTATTGCTCAAAATTTTCCTCTTCCATCTCACCGAACTTTGAGAAGGAGGGTGCTAAGTGTTGAATTTTGTCCAGCGATATTAAAAGATGTTTGATTTTTAAAAAATTAAAATTGAAAATATCAATGATGAGAGAGAAAAAGACTGCTGTCTCATTTTAGATGAAATGGCAATAAGGCCTGGGCGTACTTTTGACTGTATAATCAATGATTATATCGGTTTAATAATGATTTCAGATGAATCTTCAAGATTTACAGCACGTGCGTTAGTATTTATGGTTGCCGGTGGAAGCAAACTGGCTTATTATTTTACCGGAAAATCTATAAAAATGGAGATTATTTTGATACAACAAATTTTTTAAAAATTATTGAAATAGGTTTGAATGTAATATGTGTTACCTCTGACATTGGTTCTTCAAACCAGTCATTTTGAAAGGCATTTGGTATTACAGCCGGAAGATATGCACATACACAAAATTTTTTCTCAATATCCTAATAACCCCCAAAAGAAGATTTTCATTATAGCAGATCTTGTCCATTTATTCAAAAACATTAGGATGTCGCTTTTAAACAATAAAAGGTACTTGTTAAGAATCCGGTCGGGACGAAACCTCCCTTCTTATCTCGTGTAAGATGTGAGTTATTCCATTGTATATTTTTGTTGAAATGGATGTTAATACATTGTGGGCATTGCCTTCTTCAGAAGAAGAGGCTATCAAATATTTTCAAAATGCCAGGGTAATTGCAAAGGTGAAATTCTGCGAAGGTCATGAAATGAAGTTCGACAGGAAGACGAATTAGAGATGCTTTCGTACCACTTGTAAGAAAAACGTACCAAAATAAGGAAAGGAACATGGTTAGAGGGGTCGAAGATTTCGTTTTCAACTGTTTTAAAATTAATTTGTGGGTGGTCTCATAATTTAACAAGGATACAGTGGGGCAAAGAGCAGCTGATACTATCGAAGACAAGTATAATAATGTAGAACAAAGTTTTAAGAGAGATTTGTGCCCATTACATGTTATACAGGTCAAGTCAAAAAATTAGAGGACCTGGCAAAGATCATGTAGAGAGAGTTCTCTCTGAACAATGGATGCTTGGCGGAGTTTGCCAAGAAACAGATGAGTGTTTCATCGTCAAAATGAATGACAGAAAAGCAAAAATTTTATTAGAATGTATTAAAAATAATATATAAGGGGGAAGCACCATTTATTCTGAATGTTGGAAAGGATACAACACCCAAGTACTGAAGGAAGCAAACTATAATAATTTCCAGGTGAATCACCGGTATAATTTTGTTTATCCGTCAAGTGGGGTTCATACTCAACACATAGAACGATTATGGGGCTCAGCTAAGTGGAAAAATAAGAAACATCGAGGAACTGCGAGGTAACACCTTGATTCATATTTTTTTGGTGGTGGCCTCACAGAAAAGAGGACCCCTTCCTCGCTATTTTAAATAGCGTTAAACTATTTTGTCTACCATAATAAATTAAATGAAAATAAAATTCTTTTATATGTACATACGTTTTTTATATAAACTATGAACATATATGCGTAAAATTAAATTGTTTTGTTATTGTTGTGGGATTTATTACATTTATTTTTGTATATTTCAATTTTAAATCTAACTGTGTTGTTATTACATTTGTTTTTGTCTATTTCAATTTCCATAAATATTGCAGTTGTTTTTGTTTATTTCATATATATATGTTGTAAAATAAAAGTGTTTTTTATTATTACATTTCTTCTTGTGTTTTTGAATTCCCATAAATATGACATTTCTTTTTGTCTATTTCAATTTCCATAAATGTGAATTCGATGATAGGTATTATCAGAATTATCAGTGTTGAGATTATAAACATTGGCAGATAGCAGTCGATCCCGACTGAATTCTTGACAAGTAACCAATAAAGTTATAGAAATTCCAGAATAATTTTACAGCAAAATAAATGGTTGTGCAAGCAACTCATATTAAAGAACTATTTGATTTCCAAGAAAAATTCAATTTCAAATTAGCCCCCAAATTGGATGAGGAAGATTTATCCCCATCCCATTTTTAATCAATGAAAGTTGCTTCAGCGGCACATGTTATAAACCATTCAGTTAGAAGCGGTCTTAAGTTTTAGTTAGGGCAAGGCAAATAGTCCCAAATGCTTTGAAATTTAAAACTTATAATGATGCCACAATATATGAAAGAAAGTAGGGGGAATTTTGAAATAGGCGAGAGAAACGATTTTATAGAGTTGATAAAAAAAAAAAAAAAAAAATGAACTTCAGATAGATTTCAGCAACTTCGTACCGGAATCGTAGACCTATCTGTCAGGGAACTAAATTTAAATAGCATAAAACTGAACTCCCTCCACTGTCTCAGTGGGTTCCTCGTTTCAAGTATTAAAAAAATTCTAAATGGTATGAAACATGTGTAGGAAGTTTAGGAGGCTATACACCATATGGCTTAGCATATGAAAATTTTACAGTTTTGGAACAATTTAAAAATACCATTTTTTTGTAATGAAAATACGTTTGATTTGGTTTTAAAATTAGAAGACAGTTTCTAAACCTATTGGAACAAAAAAATTCTGTTAAAAGTGATTTGAAATCACTTTTCTTGGAAAAATTAGTTCTGTTGATGCTGAACACATAATTGATTGTCATAGTATTAAAAATACTATTTTGAAGAGGTTTATTGTATTTAGACTTAAAATAAATTATATCAGTACAAAAGTTTCCTCTATAGGTAGGTCTATTTTTAGTGGTAAATCTGTTAATGTATAGGCATTTATAAACTTCATTTGCTTTGTAAGTAAATAAACATTGTCTGTTATACCTTTGGTTTTTTATATCCTTTTGTTGATTAAAAATGTTTTCTTTTTAAAGTTAAATTTGTTTATTCTTTAATCGATTTATAATTCATTGTATTTTATCCTTACAATTTTTTATTTCACTCTTCTCTGTTTTTTTTTTTACTTGGTATATCCTGTGTGATAAAATTGAAAACACATATCCAACAACCTATGATTTCCCTAAAAAGTAATGAAAAATTAAAAGCTTAGATTGTGGACCAATGGAAAATTCAGAAGTGATTAACATTATTAAAATTTATCATATGATTATTTATCCACTTCATTGATAACGGATATATTGATGTTGACTGATAAATAGAAATTTTCAAATTATACAAAAGTTATACCACTCAGAAACAAATATTCTTCTACCACCTTTAACTGGCTTAAAAGTAAAATGAACATTTTTTTTAAACTTCAGATGCAATATACAATTTTTAAATTATAGTAAGAGGTAAACCATTTCATAAAAAAATATTTTATTATCAATGATCAGAAATGATTCTATTAATCGAGGATCAAATTTTTAATTATTTAAATTCCTTATAATTGACTGTCATGGATATATTGAAGATGAGTTGGTTTTACTTATGTTGGTTAAGATTAATTATGAGTTTGATTTATAAGTGAATCATGGAAAAAATTTAATTAATAATAATGTGAAATAAACAGTTAACTATTCATGATATGAGCTCAATTATTGCTATCTCTAACATTAATTCTAGCTTGATCCATTAATCGCTATAGCCTTTTGCAAAAAGAGTCATAAAGTTTCACTAGGTATTAGTGATCGATGGAGTTTAATAGCCTAATATTGCTAAAAACTAGGAACAAAATCTGTACCACTTCAACCTATGAGGAGTCTTATGGATCAATACTTTGAAGATAAGTACTGTTTCAACTGCCAACAGTTATGCAGGAAAGTGACTGGCCCGAGATCATGCTCAGTCCTTAGGTTTCTCCCCTTAATTATGTTAGTAATTATTATGGTTTATATTCTTTAGGAGATATCTATTATAGCCCATTTTATTTGGCATTAACTATAGATATGGTATATACCTACAGTATGAGTAAAATGGTAAAACGATTAGTTCTGATGGTAGAAGAAAAGTTGAGATTTGTATTTTACACATCGAAAAAGCCTCAGATATGAATTTTCATAGCAAAAGTTGGATAACTTCAATGACTCTTCTTATAAGAATAAGAATAACTCAAAACGTGTATATTTTTTTAGTTATTCTTATTGTTGATTAGATCATGGTTATTTAAAAGATCACTAAATTCCCTACAAAACAAAAATAGAAAAATCAATGAAATCGGACTATTACTAGCAAAAGATACAGCTTATTGTAATTTGTAGAAATGTTGGTTTTAAACATGACTGAAGTTTTAAATTAATTTTCATTTCTTTAGTCGCTTATAATTACTGAGAAAATAAGAACTAATTTCTCCATCTTATAGGTTGCATTATTTTATTTTCTTATTATTTTGTCATTTGATCACTGAACAATATACTGTGCAATTTATTCACACAGGCCAACTAATCTATAATAATTTATTAAGCATTTGATACTATGCCATACATCAACATTTGAATCTTTTTCATATAGAGGAATGTAAAGTATTACAATAATTATTTTAAACTAGTTACATCATTTTAAATATAAAATAATTATTTCATATTTATTTTTCAATCAGATTTGTCATTTCTTTTTTAATCAATTTATAAACACTGCAATTATTTTCTAATAAATATGATTTGGTTATAAAGAAGCACAAAATTATTGATTGTACAATTAATCGGAGTTTGACATTATGTTGAAGTCTGGTATTTACCAATTATGAAAGGAGGTAGAGGGTAACGTGTGGCTGCTCCAGGATGCTTCTAACTTAGTTACGCTAACGATTAATCCCACACAATACTAGATACTTTGAAATCAGGAAGATATTGCTTATGAATCTCCCATAACCCACCAGACAAGGAAGAAAAGAAATGAGAAAAAAAACTTCAGAATTTCGAAAGAAATCATTTACAAAAAAAAAAGTAGACCCCCTAAATGAAACAAATTTAGGAAGTTGCTTCCCTGTATCGGGCTGAAAATAGCTGTAAAAAGGTTTGTGTTAGATTGAATAATAAAATATTTATTATATATTATATAGATATGAAATATAACATTAAAAAATTGTAATGGAAGTTTCTCTTTGCCTTCCTTTTAATAAATTACATAAACTTCCCAACTAAAAAAATAAAAAATTAGAAAATATTCATTAATTTTTTATATTTAATTTAATACTTGTTTATTCACAATATGGTACAGAACATTTCATAGTGTACAAGTCATAGTATGATAAACACATTAAAATATTAAAAGCTGAATTTTAAATTTTAATAAAAATATTTTTCTGAGTATATAATAAGGGGATGAGGAAGCCAAAGAATCCAGTGTATTAGGTATATTATTGAAGTTTAAGTGTGACTTCGGTCACCATTTAGAATGGTGACTACCGAAAACTTGTTTCAAGCAATTACTCGTCTTCTCTCCATATATTTCGAACAGCATTAAGAACCATGCCATATATTTCATTCTATCTTTTTTATTGAATACATTAGAGAAAAACAGATGATGTGAGAAAACATAATTTAAAAAATCTTACAATCCCTGTTATTGTCAAATCACTGATGGGGAGCATCTAATGATAAAAGCAATGTGCAAGCATCTTTATTACAACTGGTTTTATCAATTAATACTCTCATTGTAGGACTCATTTGATGATCCGCAATACCATCCTTTAGTAATACATAATAAAGTAATGTTTCGGGCCAGTCTATGACACCTATAAATTTTATGGTTAACATCTCTGTTACATTACATTTCCATCCGTATCCTTCGAAGATGTGACCAATCGTAATGAAGAAGTTGGCTTCTTCACCGATCTCGCGGACTACAGCTAAACATGATTCAACATGGCTGCAGTTACGGTCAACATAACCAATGAGTACCTCTTCCCTGACGTTTGGCTCATTTTCCTGGCACATTGGCATATCCATCATGGTTCTATTGTAATACCATATTTCCGGCAACGAAACTCCAACTTCATGGATGACTTCATCCTCTCTTTTCCAATAAAAAATAATGAATTTAACCATGAACATGAGAGTAACAAAAGAAACTAAAGTTCCAAAGATGATATGTGTTTTCTTCTTCGAATTTATATATCTGCAAAAAAAAATTTACAATTATTTTTAAAAATTAAAATAATATTTACCTTAATCAATAAAAATTTTTATTAATTAATGATATATTAAGGAATTAAGCGATTGGAAGGAAATTAGCCAAAAATGAACTAGAAATAGTTCCAATTTCCTGGAACAAGTCTGGTGTTTAAAGTAACTTTACTCTAAAGTAGCGGTCCTCAAGCGTATTTTGCTGCGGATTTTTTTGAAACTTGAAATTCATGTTGCTTATAGGTCTGTTAATGATTCATAATAAATAAATCAGCTTACCTAAATAAGGGGTTATCAGAAAACTATTTTAACTTGGCCGATTTTTACAAAACTTCTTATTTACTCATTTGTTTTATGGACTTTGTAAAAAACATTTTTGGTCATTACCAATATACAATCTTTCAAGGCCTCCCCAAGCTATTTGTTTTCCCGGACCCTATACAGCCACTGAGTTTTGTCTTGCATGCTTCTCTCTCGTAAAGTGTAGAGTAAATGGTTGAGAACTCCTTCAAGTCATATATTTTCTTAAAGTCTGAGAGTTATAGAAATTTTAGTAGTAAAAGTTAGGCTAAGTAGACATATCTGTAGTTTTCCTTCAGGTTGGTTATCCAGTTTATTATTTTGAATTTGTTCTAGTACTTCATTTTCAATTTAAGGCTTTTATAATCAAATTTATTGCTTTTATTATTTCTACTAATTATTTTCTATGATTGAAGTCTAATTTATGTTTTATATATATATATATATATATATATATATATATATATATATATATATATATATATATATATATATATATATATATATATATATCATAAATTAGACTTCAATCACAGAAAATAATTAGTAGAAATAATAAAAGCAATAAATTATATATATATTATTTTATATATATATTTATATAACATAAATGTGAACATATAAACTTAATGAAATTATATGAAACATTTAAAGAGTAAGTTGTTTCTAAAATGATTATCCATTCAAAATTTCAACAATCACGACATATTATTTTGTTAATAATTGTTATTTAAATGCTGACACCTGGCTAAAAAACAAATAATGCATATTTTAATAATATAAACTAATTTTTATGTATCCAAACCATATATATTAATATGCATTAAAATCAGTCATTAAATATTACTTACATTTCTTCTTCCAATCTATCAAATGAAGCTGGAGTTGACATAATTCCTTAATGTACTGAATCACAACTCTTTTCATTTTATGATAAACCCATATCATTTAAATAGATTTTGTGGGTCATAGATTATAAGAATCAAATCAGGTCCCTCTGTATAAAGCTATCTAGATTTAAATAATTTCACTTCATGCCTATGAAATCAATTGAGTAAATTGCTTGATTTAGAAAAGTAATTTGAGATAATAAATTTTATTTTTGAAGCATTAATCTTAGAAGCACTTTATTGTATCTCTAATAAACAGTTTTATTTAATTTTTAATAATTATAAAATTATTCTATTCTAAATAAACACTACATAAACAATTCTTTAATATTTAAAAATTGACATGGAATATTTAACAAAGCATACTCATGAGTTTATTTAATTTTTAAAAAATGTATTACCATCAATATAGGGTAAGCATAACAATTCATAACTAATATGAAAAATTGAGAGAGAGGTATACATTTTATTTTATTATCTGAGCATATTTCATTTTCAACACTATAAAATATTTTCTTAGTATATTGTTATGTTTTTATTATTGATACTTATATTGGTTTATATAACCATTATCTCATTTGTACATTCTACATTTTTTCTTCTCTCATTCTTTTTTATACTTATCTATTTTCTGATGTAATTGTTGTGTTTTTTAATTTTTAGCCCTGAGGATTACTCGAGTGTTTGGATCAAAACGTCGGCAAACTCAATAAAAATATTTCTTGACTGCAAATCCGGACTATTTTTCATTTTCCTGATAAAAAAAAATTTCATAAATATTTAGAGACTAATTAATTATTTATCAATAATATTAATTAATCATTTATTAATGGCATTAATTACATAACAATAAAAATAA